AAATATGGTGCAAGTTTAAATGTTAAAATTACTACAGTAAAAAAACACATTGATATTGACAATAAACATGCTTATCCCATTGTTTTTGCTATTATCTGAAGCATTTCTTTTTCTTTCTTTCTTTTTTTTTTTTTGTCTCTTTTGAGACAGGGTCTCGCTATGCAGTTCAGGCTGGCCCTGAGCTCACTTTGTAGCCCAGGCTGGTCTCAAACTCGCAACAATCCTCCTGCCTCAGCCTCCCGAGTGCTGGGATTACGGGTGTGCACCACCACGCCCAGCTCAACACATGATGTAATGTGCTATGAGGGCCTATTACGTGTGCCCTGGGCGCATCCTCCTGAGACACTGTCTCCCTGGACTTCCTTCTCCAAGCGCCTTTGTTTTGTGTTCGGCTGTCCTGGGGACTAGCCCAGGCCTTCCCTGCAGCACTTCCCCAGCCAGCCTGCCTTCCTCCCTTTCTTTTTTCTCCTCCTCTCCTCTCCCCTCCCCTCCCCTCCCCACCTGGAAGCAGAGTCTTTCTGAGTTGCCCCGCTAGTACCTCAGCCTCTCAAAATGCTGGGAAAACAGGCCATTCCATTATTAAAATCTAGCTAGCTATTGTCTGAAAAAAAATGTTATTACTTGGAGATACACTGAAAATAAATGTTTATATGAAGATAGGTTTAATGTAATTAATTTATCTCCGTTCTAGTGTGCTTCAGAAATGCTAAAAGTAACCAACACTATCTTGGGATTTTTTGACAGGGTGATAGTGGTGGACCATTAATGTGCTACTTACCAGAGTATCAACGTTTTTTTGTTATGGGAATTACCAGTTACGGACATGGCTGTGGTCGAAGGTATTTTCCTGGGATCTACTGTGGCCCATCGTTCTACCAGGAGTGGCTGACAGATCATTTCTCCAAGGCAAGAGCTAAAGGCATATTTGATACAGATATTTTACTTGGCCAGATCCTCTTAGCTTTAGGTTCTGTCATCTTACTAGAAGCAACATAAAGGACTTCTGAAGACTTGTTGCTTTATTTTGTATTGTGTCCTCTTTTATATTATACAGAATGAAACTATTTCTTCTTCTTTTTTTTAAGCTATTTATTCTTTTGGCAATTAATTACTCACTTTAGAGTTCCCCAAAAAAGCATTTTTTTGAGGGAAAAAAGGATTGTGATATATTGGATGTACAGTTGTCAGTCTGGCACCAAATCACATTCTTGGTAGAACTTGCTTTACTTTATAATCATAATTTTGTATTTGGAATACTTTCCTAAGGTTGTATAAAATATTCATTAAATACGTACTTTGGGTGTATGAATATCAAATAATAAAGAGTTTATAATTAAAATGAAACTGTTCTTAGGTTCATCAAAATTATTTTATTTATTATAATTATCTATAATTTTCAAAAATTACAATCTTGTTTCTGGTTCTTCAAGAATATTTGAAAAAACTGTGTTTGTTTATCATTTAAATTCTAATGAAAGCATTTTATTTAATGTGAGTTCTTCATTACCTGTGATAAGAGAGAACTACACTGCAGACATCCCCTAATCATTTCCTATTTTTATTCAGGAATTTATAAGGTGACTTTTTTCTTTTATAACCTACTTTCTAAATTTTATTTTCTAAAGTTCATGTTAAGGGCCGGGGATATAGCTCAGTGGCACAAGCGCCTGCTTGGCAAGCACAAGGTCCTTCCGGTTGTGAACCGGTTGTGAACCGGTTGTACCGGTTCAATTCCCGGTACAACCCCCCACCCCCCGCCCAAAAAAGTTAAAGTTCATGTTAAGAGTTAGTATTCTGTGCGTCCTCTGAATTAAGTGGAAAGAAGGGATTCAAAGGCATGTGGAAGGGAAGGAAGCCATCCTGGGGTAAATTTTATGGTGGCTAATCTATAAAATGCATTCCTGAAATAAAACAAAATGTTTAGCACTTGTGTGGCCGGGGGGCCATCCACAGAGCGTGGCACGTGCCACGCACCGGCCAGGTTTTCACTAGTCACCCCTGTGCCGGTGGACACGCAGGCCGCTTCCATAGTTCAGCTCGTGTGACCCATGCTGCTACAAACACGGGTTCGCATGAGTAAGATGATACTCGGAAGAGGTACAGCGAGATCAGATGGAATCTCTAGTTTAAGCTTTTTGAAGAAGCTCCATACTGCTTTTCAAAGCGGTTGTACTAGTTTACACCCCCACCAGCACTGCAGAAGGGCTCCTTTTTCCCCACAGCCTCACTAGCATTTGTTGTTGAGGACTTAATAATACCCATTCTTACTGGAGTAAGGTGGCCGCTCACTATTATTTTGATTTACATTTCTCTAATTTTACATTTCTCTAATTTTTTCATGTATTACATTTTTTCATGTGGCTATTTGGGCTTCTTTTTGAGAAGTGTCTGTTCATTTTAATTGCCTATTTTTTGATTGAGTCAAATTTTTTGATTTCTTTATACATTCTAGATATCAATCCCCTGTCCAAGGAGTAGCTGGCAAAAAATTTTCCCTATTCCATAAGCTTTATTTGGTTGTCGTCTTCGCTATGCAGAAGCTTTTACATTTGCTATGATCTCATTTGCTGACGCTTGGTGTTACTTCTTGTGTAACTGGGGTTCTGTTCAGAGAGTCTTTGCCTATGTGTCAGTACTTCCCAGAGAATTATTTACTTTACCTCTCAGCACATTGTGTTTTTAACATCTGGGTCTTTGATCCACTTGGATTTGATTTTAGTACAGGGTGAGAAACGTGTGGAGATTCGTTCCTCTGCATGTAGATAACCCGTTTTTTCAGCATCAATTGTTAAGAGGCTTTTTCTCCAGCATATGTTTTGGCTTCTTTGTCAAAAATAGCAGACAGCAGAAGGTGGATGGGGTTTTTCCTGAATCCTTAATTCTATTCTATTTGTTCATGCCTGTTTTTGTTTTGTTTTTGAGATAGGGTTTCACTCTGTAGTTCAGGCTAGTCCTGAACTCACTTTGTAGCCCAGGCTTGTCTTGAATCCCCAGCAATCCTCCTGCCTCAGCCTCCTGAGTGCTGGGATTACAAGCATGTGCCACCACACCTGGAGCCCATGCTGTTTTTAATCACTGTAACCTTGTGGTATAATTTGAAATCCAAGATTATAACACCTTCTGCTTTGGTCCTTTTGCTGAGAGTTGCTTTGGATATTCTTGGTCTCTTCTGGTTCCATGTAAATCTTTTTTTTTTTTTTTTTTTTTTTTTTTTTTTCCGGTACCGGGAACCGAACTCACGACCTTGCGCTTGCCAGGCAGGCGCTTTTGCCGCTGAGCTAAATCCCCAGCCCCTCCATATAAATCTTAAAATTGTTTTTCTAGTTCTATGAAGAATGCTATTGGTATTTTGATTAGAATTGCATTAAATCTATGTATCAGTTTTGGTAATGTGGCCATTTAGACAATATTTGCACTGCCTGTTCAGGAATACAGAATGCCTTACCATTTTTTTTCCCCACCCTGGACCCAGGTCTTTCCATTTTTCTAATGTCCTTTTCAATCTCTTTTTTCAGAGTACTGTAGTTTTCATTTACAAGTCTTTCACTTCCTTGGTTAGATTGATTCTTAGGTTTCTTTTTTAAACTATCATGAATGAGATTGTTTTCTTGATTTATTTCTCAATGGGTTCATTGTTGGTGTACAGGAAAGCTATTAATTTTTTTTTGAGACATGCTCTTAATATATAGTCCAGGCTGGCTTTGATCTCACTATGTAGCCCAGGCTGGCCTCAAACTCTTGGTGATCCTCTTGCCTCAGCCTCCTGAGTGCTAGGATTACTGGTGTGCACCACCAGTCCCAGCCTTTATTGATTTTTGTATCCGTCTATATTGCTGAATTTGTTTATTACTTTTAAGCCTCTTATGGTGGAGTTTTTGGGTCTTCTTCCCTGAGAACTGACATTATCTCTTGCATACTATCAGCTCATAGTGGGATGAAACTAGACATCAACAGCAAAGAGACCACAGAAACTGTGTGAACGCTTGGAGATTAGATATGTTCTTGAATAATCAGTGATCATAGAGGAAACCAGAGAAGAAATCAAATGAAAGAGAATCAAGTAACAAAGGCACACAACATACCGAAATCTATGAAATGAGAGCAGTTCTAAGTGAGAAGTTAATAGCTGTGAATGCTGACACTAGAAAAATAGTGATCTCACATAAATAAGCTGCATCATAAATGATGCATCCCAAGGTCCCGTAGAACAAGATTAACCCCAGTACAAACTTTTATGAAAAAGAAAGAAATTACAGAGATCAGAGTAAAAATTAATGACACTGAGACAAAAAAAGGACCAACAAATTAGAATTGGTTCTTTAAAAGGATAAACAAAATTGATTAACCCTTAACCAAATTTATCAAAAGAAGGAAAGAAAAGATTCATATCAGTGCAATTAGAAATGAAAAAGATGGAATTACAATGGACACTGCCAAAATCCAGAGGATTATAAGAAAATATTTTGAGCAGGGCATGGTGGCATATGTCTGTAATCCCAGCACTCAGGAGGCTGAGGCAAGAGGATCATTGTGAGTTCGAGACCATCCTGGGTTACAAAGTGAGCTCAAGGCCAGCCTGAACTGCATAGTGAGACCCTGTCTCAAAAAGACAAAAAGAAGAAGAAGAAGAAGAAGAAGAATTAATACTCATTTATCAAAAAACTGGGTTAAATAACCCAAAGTTATTGCAGGATGATCAGGCCTGCAATCTCCCAAGCAAGTGGACGTTGAAGGCTTAAATAAAATGTAGACAATATAATGATTTTAGGGCACCAGGAGGGACTAATTGTCTTACAGCTTTAGTATTCTTGGAGTTAGCCAAAGACTGCCCTGGGCGGCTCGTATTTATTAGGTTTTCAAACAAAGGGAGAGGATACTCAAGAAAA